TGGTTCAAGAAAAGGGAGTTTTTTTTTTCTTTCTTTAAGGAAGAGTCCGTGACTTAGAGTTTTGCTTTTTTGTCGTATGGGTATTCGAGCATTAGCTTTGGACTTTTGGTTTTATGAAGCTTTCTTTGGCATTGCAGTGAATTGAGTCTCCCAATTTGGCTCGAGATTTCATTGGTATGTTGACAAGGCAATTCCTTTGGTGTAAGTTTATTTTAGAGGGCACCAAAATCCTTTGTGACTAGGACTATACAACAAATGACATGTGGCTATTTTGCCAGCACTTGTATTTTTTAACAATGTTTTAATATTTGCTATTTAACCTTCATTAATTATATCTTTTTAAATAATAGTCCCCAGTCTATTTAAATATGTTTTATATTCCTTATTTCCCTCCCTGCCTTTTCATTTTCATTTTTCAATCTTCTCTCTGACGCATCTTTGTGGCTTCTCTCTCGCGATTGTTTTGAATCTTCTCTCTCGCGCATCTTTGTGGCTTCTCTCTCGCGATTGTTTTCAATCTTCTCTCTCGCGCATCTTTGGGTCTGTTTTGTCCCTACCAAAAGGTCCATCAAAGACGGTAAGTTTCCCGTGTACCCTCTGTTCCTTCCCTTTTCATTTTCATTTTTCCTCTTCTCTCTGTTGCATGTTGTTGCAAGGGCGGCTTATTTTCTGTTGTTTTTTGTTTTCGATGACCTCCCATTGTCTGGTCTCCGGTGGTCAAAAACCTACTCTCCCTACCAAAAGCTCGATCAAAGACGGTAAGTTTCCCGTGTACCCTCCGTTGCTACCCTTTGCATTTTCATTTTTCCTCTTGTGTCGCATGTTGTTGCAAGGACCTCTGATTTTTTGTTGTTTTTTATTCTTCATTTGTATGAGGTTACTCTTCGAAAGGAGATTTATTTTCAAGTTTGTTAGAAATTATGAAGTGCATGTTAATTTTTTTAAAAGGTTTTATTTGTTTTGACTGAATAACAAGAACATTTATAAGATTGTGCATTTTTTTATTTTATTTTTGATTTTATCATTGTTATGCAGATGGATGAGTTTAAAGAAATGTGTAATTTGAATGAAAATGGTTCTATTGATTGTAACCGTAGTGAGGTTGAAAAATCAATTAATATAGATAATGAAATTGATGAAGAGGTTTATTTAGAAGATGAAGGTAATGAAGATGTATACAAAAGTTATCTTGATCTGACGGCAGATGATATTTTTGGATTGGAGTTTGCAAGTGAAAATGCTGCTTATAAATTTTATTTCACTTATGCTAAGTGTCATGGTTTTGGGATCAGAAGAGATGAGGTAAGTTATGATGATAAGCACAATATTGTGATGCGACAATATTTATGCAACAAAGCTGGATTAAGAGACAAAAAGCATTTGATGAGAGATGATAGGAAAAAAGAACATAGACCACTATCTCGTACAGATTGCAAAGCAAAGTTACGTGTGCGTTTGGATCAAAAAACCTGTAAATTTAAGGTTGTTTCATTTGAGGAAGGTCATAATCATAATCTATGTGATTCAAATTTTGTGCAATTAATCCGTACGTACCGTGGTTTGAGTTTTGCAGACAAAGTTCAGGTTGATTCATTATGATAGACTATGGCCAAGGCCAAGGAATCCAAGAGGTGATATCCTAAAAGAACCAAGAGGAATGGGATGATCTTCAAGACCTTTTCATATGTTTTGTACATAGTTTCTTTTGTATAGGTTATTTTTGCCTTTGTATTTGTAAGGCACTTTATTTCCCTTTTTAGTAGCTATTGTATATTGATTCTAGGGTAGGTTACTTGGACACTTTGACTCCATTTAACCTAACCTAGAAATACATTCTTTTCTTAGTTTTCTAGTAGGAGTGGCATTAGCAAATTAGAGAGTGTCCTTAGTAAGCTAGAGAGTGCTCCTAGCAATTTAGCCAAAGGTGGTCCTAGGCTAAATTTTTCATATTGGACTCATTTTACTCCTAATTTTTCATAGATTTGATTTAGCTAGGTTCCATTCCCATTGAATGAACCTAACTAAACCAAATTAACCATTTTCAAATCAAAAGGAGTAAATTAATTCCAAGAAGCCACCCACCTTAGAAGTGTGTTCACACTTGTGTTCACACTTGGACGAAATTCATGGAGTTTCTTAAGCTTGGAAGCTTGAAGCACAAGCTTCTCCTTGGCTAGCTTACCAAGCAAGCCAAGTGAGAAGCTTGCTCTCCAAGCCTCTTGACCTTGGACGGTTTATCTAGACTCAACCATGGTTCCTAGTGAACCATGGTCAAGACTAGCTTGCTCTCTAAGTTTCCTACTCCTATAAACTTGTAATTCTTTGATTGTAAAACACTTTTGGACATTTATGAGAATTAGAAATCAGATTTCTCTCTCATTTTCAAGAGTCAAATTTCGTGAGAAACCTTCTCCTAGGTTTTCTCTCAAAGTTCCTTCTCCTAGAAGCTTGGTTCCTCAAGCTTCTCCACTTCTTCAAGAGGTAACCGAACCTCTCTTTGGTGCTTCTCCACCATTGGAGAATCCTCCAAGGTGATTCCGCCACCTTCAAGGAGTTCAACCTCATGGAGCATTTCGGTCCTTGCATGGAAAGCTTGGAAGAATATCAATCCTCTCCAAGTGCTTCCATCACATTACATGCCCAAGGTTTTAGGACATGCCATATAATGGGTTTTATGTTGGACCAAGCAGGTGGGCATATGGGCCTTAACTTTAACAAAAAACATTTGTTCAATCATATTGAGCGTAATAAGCGTTTTAAGATCAATGATGGATACGTAGTTGCTGCTTTAAGTTATCTTCAAGGCAAGGCAGATAATGATCCATTATTTTTTTCAAGGTACATGATATCATCTGAGGGTCAGTTGAAACACCTATTTTGGGCTGATGGTACTAGCAGAAGTGATTTTCAATGTTTTGGTGATGTACTTGCTTTTGATAGTACATATAAGAAGAATAAGTATAATAAGCCATTGGTGATTTTTTCTGGTAAAAACCACCATGCTCAAACTGTTATATTTGGTTGTGCTATTGTTTCCGATGAAAGTATTGAGGCATATAAGTGGGTATTGGAATCCTTTTTGAATGCAATGTCAAATAAACAACCAAAAGCTGTAGTGACTGATGGAGATGGTGCAATGAGAGAGGCAATTAAGCAGGTATTTCTAGAAGCAACACACAGGCTTTGTTCATGGCATTTGCAAAAAAATGCCTGTCAGAATGTTAAGAATAATAATTTTTGGAAGGATTTCAAAAGGGTAATGTACGGTAATTATACCCCAGAAAAGTTTGAAAGATTATGGAATGAGTTAGTAGAAAGACATGAACTACAAGACAATAATTGGGTTCAGCAAACTTACCAAAAACGGTTTATGTGGGCTACTGCTTATTTACGTGACAAATTTTTTGCGGGTATAAGGACTACTTCTTTATGTGAAGGAATAAATTCATGCATAAAGACTTATTTGAAGAGAAAAAATACTATAGTTGAATTGTTGTACAATTTTGAGCATTCTTTAAGAGATTATAGGTATAATGAGTTGTTGTCTGATTTCAATTCTTTTTATACACAACCTGTTTTGTCCACCTCTTTACCCTTAATTGAAAAAGAAGCCTCAAAAATTTATACCAATGATGTGTTTAAATTGGTAAAGGTTGAGATTGTTACTGCTGGATCTTTGAATGTTGTTGATACAAATGACAATGGTGATAAGGTTACCTTCACAGTTGACAATTATAAGCATCGTGAATTTTTAAGCAATGTTGTTTTTGACAAAGATGAGTGCAAATATGAATGTGATTGTATGATGTTTGAATCTTGTGCAATTCCTTGTAGTCATATTATGTGTTATGCGATATCAACATGTTCATGTGTTTCCTCCAAGTTTAATATGCAAGCGATGGTTGAAGGATGCAAAAAATTCAGTTTATATGTCTTATGAGACAGGAGATAATTCTAATGATATGATTATTACTGCACGCTTTGGGGTTTTAAGTGCATGTTTTAATAGACTTGGTCACCTTGCTTCAAAGAGTCGTGAAAGTTTTAATTTCATAAGGAATGAAATTTTGAAGCTTACTGATAAGTTACAAAAAGAAGTTGGTTTGCAGCACAATGGATATGATGCTAGTAATGATTATTGTGACCCCCTTGTTGTTAAGACAAAAGGTGCCCCATCAAAGAAAAATGTGAAGAAAAAAAGTAGGAAATGTTCTAATTGTAATTTAACTGGTCATGTAGCTACAACATGTCCTGTCCTCCTTTTCATGGATTATGACTTTAGTTCCAGTGAGGATTCTACAGAATTGGATGATGCTGTTGATGAAAGTGTAAGTTATTTATTTTGAAATATCATTTTAGGTAAATAATTTATGTATTTGACACATCAGTTTATATAAGTAATTTTTTTTGTTAATTGCAGGAAAATTGTACACCCTCGATGATGATACTAACAAAGAAGATGGCAGTAGTGCTCCAGTGAAGGTATTTATTTTGATTAATGTATATCTGAAAAGAAGTTTTAATAGTCTCATTATTTGTATTTTGTGATTAATTTATGAATTTTGTGCTTTTAATCGAATGTACAGAATAAACGAATGGATGATGATTTAAGTATATCAAAATTAAAATATAAGAAACAAAGGGTTTCAAAACCGAATTTGAAGGAGGAGAACATTGTAAGTGAATTTTATTTTGATATATTTATGTCTTAAAATATTAATCTTTGCATTTGATTATAATCATTGATTTGTATTATGATATTTAATTTCAGAAATTGAAAGCAACAGTTGGTAGGGAGATTTGTGATAAAAATGTAAAAGCAAAAGGAAAAGCAAGTTTTTGTAATTTAGTGAAAGATGTAAAGATGGAGTCTTCAACTCAAAAAATAGAGGTCTAGTTAATGAAGGAAGGTGAAGAATCTCACAAAAGAGATGTTTTATCCCCGACATCATGTGAAAGAAATGATTTGGTCCATACTTATAATCAGTTTCCTCCTGTGCAACATCCTTTTTATAATCATATCCAGCAACAGCAGATGTTAAACTATCAATATCCACAATACTTGCTAATAAATGAGGTTAGTTAATTTTGTTTCCGTAATGTATATACATACATTATCCATAATATGTCATTAATATATTAAGATTAAAAAATTGATCATGCTGTAGAATTTTAGTTTGATGAACATGGTTGGTGCATCTGGTTGGTCTGACTTACTACAAAATGTTATGAATGGTGGCACTGAACCAAGTAAGTTTGTGTGTTGACGGTGTTGTACATTAAAATAATAAATTTTTTAATGCTTCTGACGTTATGCATTTTTTGTAGGTAAAAAACCAGGGTAGAAAAGGGTGATTTCCCAGGTGCAGATTCTAATTTTTACAAGCAAAAATGGTCTTCAGTTGACTATAAAGGGCGTTTAGACAATGTTGTCAGTTTGAGATGCAAAATTATTAGTCAAGTCTGAATTGGCTTGTTTAATAAGAAAATATTGTGTGTATAATTTGCGTAAAATTAATGTACTAATGTTGATGGAAAAAAAGAAACAATATGATTACAAATTATAAATGAAAAACAGATAATGTCAATCTTTTTTGTCATATCCTATTAAGGTCCACAATGTTATTATATGAACTCTTATGTTGTAGTCAATTATCCCCGCAACAATGTTCATTAGTAATGTAAACCTTTCGGTTATATCTTTTTAAAAGAAGATAAAAGCAAAAGGGATAAAAATTTTAATAATATCTTTATGAAAAAAAGAAATTTATAATTGTTATTTATGAAAAAAAGAAAAACTTCTTCAACCACGAAAGTCATCTTCAACGAATTTGTTTGCAATGGATTCTTAAACTCTGGCAGGCATAACAATGTTATTATATGAACTGTTATGTTTCAGTCAATTGTTCCCAATCTAATGTCCTTTAGAATGTAAACCTTTGACCCAAGTCCTTTAAAAAAAAGATGAAAGTAAAAGTACATGGCTCAGAGGTTTACATTACTAAAGGACTTTAGAGCCGCATAATTGACTGACAGATAAGAATTCATATAACATTCTGGAAGCTGCAGAGTTTAACAATCGATTACTTTCATTATGGAATGTCAAGTTTGTGTATTGCAGGTCACTTTAAATAAGTCCTTAAGGTGAGAAAACTAAAAATGGTAAAACGAAGTGTCGTTTAATAACTTTAAATATGAAGAGTCGTTTTCCTCATGAACGGTTCGTATTTCAGAGTTAAATTATTTACACAAGTGGATATTAAATTCTCCCTCTGTTTTTTTTTCATAGTCGTTTTGTAGAGTTTGTTTTTTTTTTTTTCATTGTCATTTTACTAAAATTAATGGGTTATTAATTTTTTTTCTTCCATTTTTACCCTTGATAATTAATACATGTTTCCTGAATAATGTGTGTATTTATTTTTAATGTCTACCTAATTTATGAAATTTGTGGTTCTTCAGTTGACTATAAATAAAGGGCGTTCAGACAATGTTGTCAGTTGGAGATGCAAAATTATTAGTCACATCTGAAATTTTAACATATTTAAATTTGATGTATTGGAAAAAAATGATGTGATACACTTATTTTATTTTAAAAATGATACTCAGCCATAATTTGAATACTTGACTTTAGATGGAGAAAATTATTCATATTTGATCTGACTGTGCATGTGCAAATTCTGTTGTTTAATAAGAAAATATTGTGTGTATAATTTGCGTAAAATTAATGTACTAAGAAACAATTTTCATTAGTAATGTAAACCTTTGGGTCTTTAAAAGCTAAAATGAAATTTATAATTGTTATTTATGAAAAAAAAAAAACCTCTTGAACCCCCAAAACGATAAGGATGAACTGAATGTTGAATAAAACCCAAAACGGAAGTTTTGAAAATTAACATATATGGTGGTCAGTTATGGAATGTGAAATTTGGGTTTTGTAGGTCACTTTAAATAACTCATTAAGGGGTGAAATCCGAAAACGGTAAAACAAGTGTCGTTTAGTAACTTTAAATATGAGGAGTCATTTTCCTCATCAATGGTTCGTATTTCATAGTTAAATTCTTTACACAAGTGGAAATTAAATATGAAAAAAGAATAATATTAATATACAACTGACAACACAGAACCCGTATTTTCATTTACGAAACACGTACACATTTCATGAGGGTTTATAAAATCTATTTATGTATGCCTGCAATTACATCATTCCAATAAGCAATGATGATTTCAGATGTGTGCAGTAATTAATAATGACATGATATAAAAAAATTAGTATTAAAAATTTAATTATATAATTATTTATTATTAACAGAAAATAATTTGATAGTGTTTCGGAATACAATTTCAAAGATGTACAATTTTTGTTTTTCAAAACAAGACAATAATCATTTCAAAATTCAATAAATAAATATTTTTAAAAATATCAATAATGGAACATTTAATTACCTAAACCCTAAAAAAATAATCTCATTTGACATATTTTGTAATATATTAAATTAAATTAAGGTAATTTGTTAATTAGGTTACAAAATAATATATATTTTTATTTATCGTCATTGAAATTAAAAGAATGCAGATCAGATAAATTTCATCAAAATTAATTATAAAAGTTACGAATGTTGAACAAAAAAATTATCTTAATCAATACCCCACAACAACAACAACAACTAAATTTTCAAAACGTTTATCAGTAGATATTCGGAGTGAAAAACTTTTTCCAACTTGAGGACGTCACCCGCTTTGAATTTTCCAGCCTTCATAAATTGCATCCATGCAGAACTCAAATAACATTCCTTAGAATGGCGGGACGATCTTCTAGTTATATATGATTGATATTGTTTTTTTTTTATTGACATCAAATAAAAAACAATATGCATAATCATTTATGTTCCAAGCAACCACGTATTTAACAATAAAATTCTGCCACCAAACAATTAAATAATAATTAGTAAAGTATATTATATTAATAATTATATGTTACTTATATTAATTTTTCAGTAAAAATATTGAAAGTTCATTAATAAATTTTTTTTGAACTAATTTATTAACTCACCAATGGTTGTTTCCCTGTAGCTGCTGCCTTTGTTAGAGCCAAATACCATGGTGGATATATGGGCAGGTTATGTTCGGGTTCGTCATTAGGTTGTGGTGGTGGTGGAATTATTAGTTCCAGGTCTCTTGCTTCATCCTCATTGGCTTCTTGTGTTATGTAATTGTTACTGATAACGAAAAATTTGAACATTCAATTAATTAAAAATATCACAATAAACAACTTAATAAATATTGTAAATTAAGTCTCACCTTATATTTTCAATGTTTGGATTGTCGGGATAAATAATTTCTTCCCCAGCCATATTAAAAATACGCATATCAAATCTACTATTACCTTTATACCAAAAATCAATTGTATATTTTTTTTATACCATAAAATTGTAGTATTTCCTTTACTCCTTCTTCAAAAAATCCGACTGTGAGACCAATATTTTTTAAACCAACAGTGAAAGTGTTTCCTTTTAGATCAACAGTTTCGCATACACTTAACTTCCCTTTCCATTGTTTATAAAATACATACTTCCAAAATATTTTTCCCTGCAAACAAAAATATATAAAAAAATTAACAATGACATATATAATGCAAAAATTTGTTTATAAATATAAAAAAAAAATTAAAATAACATTAAATACCTTTTTTGGAATCAGAAAAGAACTGAAGTGTGTTACCAATGGCCTAACAATAAAGAAAATAGCATTTATCATAAAATTAAAAATAAGATTAACAAATTTAAACTTAAAAAATAAATCCTATGAATTCTGCATACATGCAATCAGTTGAAGACAGTAATAATAATGAACATTTTCATTTCGGTTAATCATGTTGAAATAAGATAAATTGTCAGTCTTAAAAGCAATAAAATAACTTAATGCATAGACTGAAACTTTATTTTTTTTAAAAATTGAAATCTGGAAAAAATAAGAAATATCACGAACTACTGGAAAAGGCTAAACACATGCAATAAAAACATAAATTAAACTTACAGACGATTTTTGTTTGGAAAAACGACGCTATGCCATTTATGTAAATCAGAGGGAAGAAGATGACAAAAAAATAATTTTGAACAAGAAGATGAAAGACAAATATCGGCAACTACACTGTAAACCCTAAACACATGCTATAAAAACACAAATGAAACTTACACACGATTTTTGTTTGGAAAAACGACGCTATGATCGGCCATTTATGTAAATGAGAGGGAAGAAGATGAGAAAAAAAATTTTCAAAAATAAGTTGAAAGACAAATATCACCAACTACTGGAAAACCCTAAACACATGCAATAACAACATAAATGAAACTTACAAACGGTTTTTGTTTGGAGAAACGACGGTATCATCAGCCATGTATGTAGATGAGAGGGAAGAAGATG